TTCTTGGAACTCCAGTGGTTCCTTCATTGGATGGATATGAATCTCGACCAGGTATTGGGAATGCGAGAAGCAGTACATTGGTCAGATAAATATCTACAACAAAATCTTTAAGGGTACGTCAACCTTTTATTTCTAGTTGAGTAGGAGCATTGGTTACATATTTCTCTTTGCTGCATGATATTAGCTGGGCTCATTTTCATGCCATATAAAAAATACATTTAGTTGTAACCGTGTTATGCTCACTTGTTTTATGAAAATCTTGCATTTTTGTTGTTTTATTTGTCTTTATTAAGTGAACAAGATACGTAATCAACTACTAAACATTCTCTTGAACATAACAACTATCACCTTCCTATCCTATTTGTCCGAAATCACTTTTTAGAAAACAATTCCAATTTTAGCTGTCTCAGTCAAACAGCAACCGCCCAATATGATCAACTCGAAGCAGTTCAGCGACTCGACCATCCATCTCCAACAAATCAACCTTTATTCTAAACACAAGCTCTTCTTCAGTTACATCTTATATAAGACCATCCACTCCCAGTCGCTCTTCATCAACTACAACTATTAGATTTCGTGCCCCCAAATTAGGGTTATTTTTGGAAAATATTGTTTCATTATTTTCACGTGATTTTATTGAAAAATATTGTTTCCTTATTTTCAAATGATTTTATTGGAAAAATATTATTTCCTTTAATCCACATTGTCTTTTATATTATTTCCATCTTCATGATATTTTTAGGGTTTGGTATGTCTCTATAAATATGTGGCTTTTCATTTAGTTTAAGTGAAACTTTATTGCTGAATTCTAGTATTCTCTCCACATATTGTCTTTAATAAAACATCGATTCCTCTACTTATCTCTCTTCAGTTTCTTTACTTTAATCTTGTTTTCTTCGTTGTGATCATATATATTTCATATTGTCCATTAATTAAAATTCTTGCATCGCCTTCGGGTTCAACAAGTGGTATCAAAGCTAGGCGGCAAGTTCTTTATGATTTGATTGGGATTTTTCAGATATGACTACATTGAAGTATGAGATTCCGCTACTGGATCGCAATACAAGATTTTCATTGTGGTAAGTAAAGATCAGGGTTGTGTTGGCACAGATGGATGTAGATGATGCTTTGTTGACTTTTGATAAAATGCCAGCAAAATGTACAACGAAGGATTCGGTTTAAGAACCGTCGGGTTCGGTTCGGGAGATTTGCCCAACCCTACATTTAATGACATGATGTATTTAAATAAACATCATATGGCTTTTATATAAATTGTGGAAGCATCCTTATGAAGTTTATTGACCAATTCAACAAATTTGAACAACTCCCAATTATATAAATATGAAGACTCTCTGCATATGTGTGGGGTAATTTAATGAATAGTCACTCAACATTATTATAGGTTACTATTTGCTCAATGATATCCAAAAAGGTATTCGTTGCTCAATGAGCTTTGCTATATGTTACTATTTACAATGAAATTGCAAGTGGAGGGTAAAGTTTTGGATGACTACTACTTGTTTTTGTCTGGAAATTATGGGAATTCTTGCATTGATATTCGTTCCACTTGATTGGTTTTTTCTGAGTGATTAAGATGTATTTGGTGGAGAGTAGAGGGGGATGTTAAGGCACATGGCCTGCGATTTTGATAATCCTGGAGACGCTTGGTTGGATTCACCCTCGATCGAATTCAATATTCTTCACAATTGGAATGAACTCTAGTTCAATTTTGTTGGGTGGCTTTTGGCTCCTAGAGGAAATTCACTAAAGCGAGTGGAAGCCACTACAGGATGCCGCGCGTGTATATTAGAGGAGAGGGTTCAAAAAAGACTTCGACAAGGTAATGCAAGTGCTCCCCCTATATGATGCATTTTTGTGGTGTTATAAGTATTTATAAAGACTAATTCTGAATAGCTATATATTTGAATGAAAACCTGTTAACGATGCACACAACAAAATGGCAAAGAAAAAG